GCCTGTCTGAGACCGTACCTCCCTAAACCAGCAGTGAGAATGATCTCTCTGACGTGCTGCTGCTGGGAGGAACACTTCCCCCCCCATGCACACCTTTTGGCTTCTCTAGGCATATCCTAGCCTGGATTTGTTCTCTTTATGTAAGTGTCGCCCAGTGCATATTGTGCTGAACTGGGTGTCACTGGAGGAGCGAAGATACTGCCCCCGGTTGTCTTGGACTTCAGGAAGCCATAAGACAACATCTCTCTCCTGCTGTGGATGATATTTCTATGCTTGCTGACTCTTTCCTGTCCTTTAATAAGAAATTCTGCTCTTCTGTGAGACATTACTAATGCTTCTCAGTATCAACTAAAATTGTATTTCTGTGAATGTGAATTTCTGGAATATACCACACCTCAGTTCAGTGGGTGACAGGAAGAGCGAGGCAGGGTGTAACTGTGCATGTGAAACTCTGACTGAACGTCCACTCTTTGTGTCCATCTCCCAGCGTGGGCAGATAGCAGCTCAAAGCAGGCGTGTAAAACACATTCTTGCCCAAGAGAGTTTTGCTACGGTCTTTGTGGAGCCAAGGTTGGGGGCTTGAGGTAAGGTGCCATTTTACCACTTAATTAAAGCCGTGCCACCCTGTGGCACTGGCTGTAGCTTACGTAGAGCCTCCATGTAGTGCTTTCTTCTCTGAACTCCTACTGAGTGTTCCCAGTGAGCTAGTCCCAGGAGCATGTTGGTCCTTCTACCTGTCTCCAGTCTCCCACCAGACCATCCTGTGTCCTAATCTCTTTCCCATGCTAAGGGGGCTGTGGTGAGACTTCACGGTGTTACAAGTGACCAACTACTCTTGTTTTCCAACATGTCCCATAGTCTGGTCCTCTTATTATCTGCACTGAGAGCTAGTGAAGGTTAAAATGCTCTTGGAGGGGTCTGAGCATGCATTAACCAGGAAAGCTGAAACATTTGAAGCTGGTCAGAACCTAATAGGAGATGGGGAGGATGATGACAAAAGCCACTCTATTAAACAAGTAGTTGGAGGTTCCTAGGAAAACTGCTGCCACCGTAATAAATCTAATCCTTTGGGCCTGGGAGGAAATGCCAGCGTAGCCAGGACCTCTGCTGTGGTCTTAGTACAGCTGTGCAAATGGAGGCAGACGCGTTCTTGTTGGGACCTGGCATAGGAAAACAAGCGTTGCCCCTTCTACAGATGAGAAGAGGCTTTTCCAGCTGCCCTGGCACTGGAAGGCTTGCGTCGTAGTCATGACTGACTGAGCCGTGACTGTTTTTACTGGGATGAAGCAGGGACTGAATGTGAATAAGCGTGGTCTGGGCTTGCTTGAAGGAAACAGGAACTATCAGGAAGGATTATGTAGTGGTGCTGGTGTCTGCCTGGCCTCGGCAAGCATGAGAAGACCTTTGTCCTGCTGCAGCTCTCTTGTTATCGTAAAGGTTTGAAATGCTGTCACAGTGGAAACTTGAATGAGAAATTTCCCCTCGATCTTGTGTGTGGTAACTCCTGTTCCTGCAGGGATGAATCCTTCTCTGACAGCAAGATTTAAGTAATCTCAATAGGTAAAGTACTCTTCCAAAAAGTTGCTGCTGGGCCTCCTTAGAGGCCTTGGCATTTGGTCTATAGACTGTGCATTCTCCCAGACTTCCCTGAAGGATGAGGAAACAAGCAAGTTAAGGGGTATAAATGAAATGGGAAGAGTCATGCTTTGCACTCTGGCAGTGGAAACCTGCTGGGTTGTCTTTCCTGGGACCGTCAGTCTGAAAGCAGGAGCTTCTCACACGTGAAGAGGGCCAGAGTTGGGCTGCTCTCCCCAAACCTGGCAGCGGTTTTCACGCTGAGATGGACTGGGAGGGCATGGATGAGCTTGGTGTGACTCCAGTAAGCCAGGAGCTAAGCTGCTCTGAACACCTGCAAACAGAAAGGGCTCCAGGCACTTTCCCCTCAGTTCCTCGTGTATGGTTGACTTTGGCCAGGCTCCTTGCAAGTTGCAAATATCTTTCAGAGAGCAAGATCCGTGGTAAGCTGGGAATAGGGAAGAGGTGTGCTAGAGTACCATGCAATGACCATATATCCTGGCCTGTTCCTTCACTGCAGGCTGAGTTGAAGAAGTGAATTTGGTTTGGTCCTATGTTGTTGTCTTGCTTTGGTGAGACCAATCCTGTGTATGGTCTTTCCTGAAAGCTACTGTGCCGCACTAAGCGAACTTGCATGTGTTTGAGGGCAGATGGTGGAGCTGGGAAATGATCTGCTCTATTCTTGGTCTGGCACGCCTCATGGAGATGCATCTGTGTGAGGGTGCAGATGCTTGTATTTACCAGGAACCAGCTGCTTACTGCAAGGGACTTACCCTCAGTTCTCATAAACAGGCCCTTCTTGCTGTCCTGGAGATTGCACTGATCTCCATGGTGAAAGTTGCACAGACAGAAGGGAGGATAATGACCCTGCAGATTAAAGGGCAAAAGGAGGTTTCCTAGTACATGAAGCTTGTGCTGATTGCCCTGGTTCTAGATTTAACATCCCTGGAAAGGTAGGCTGCAAACACAGAGAGGCTCTCTGCAAAAATAGTGGGGCCAGGAGGTGCGTTACCCAGCCCTGCAGCGTGGAGAAAAAAGCAGCACCTGTTTGAGGAACTAAGGTGTGGATTTGCATGGACATGCCCTTTGAGCATATTTGAGAGGCAGTAAGCCCATCTAATAAAAACTACCGAAATCTGCCTTTAACTGGCTCTGCTTACCTGCCTTTGATGTGGTTCAAAGGGAAACAGGGCTGCACTACGTCCTCCTTGTCAGCTTGGAAATATAAAGACTAGCAGCATCCTAATGCCTGACAAACATGCGCAGAGCCCTGCTGTCCCTGCCCTTGCCCCAGTCCTGGTGTGCTGGCCTTAAGCTCTGTTTCTTCAGTACCCAAGTACACATGGGAAGCCCGAACCGCAACAGAGCTCCAACTCCAGATGTGCACAGCTCCTTCTGCTCTAGTTCAGGCCTGATCCTGTTTGTTTTGGAGCAGCTCCTGCCAAGGAGCTTCGTCAAGTCTTTTCCATCATCTAACTTTTTAGAGTTAGAGCTCTAGCAGTGAGAGCAAGGGAGTGTAAAATCCCAAATATCCTGCTCTTCCAGCATCTGTGCCCCTTCCCTGTGCTGCTGAGGGACATTTGCAAAGGCATCTTCCTCTGACTGAAAAAAACAAAACAAAACAAAAAAAACAAAACCAAACCCTCATCTCGTTTGATGTTTTTCAGGTTCTCAGCTTGGTTGGCTTATGGCTCAGCTGGTGGTGAAGGTGCCTAGAGCACCACTCTTATTTTTGCTGGGGACACTTTTCCTCTCAGCTCCTTGTATTTACATGATGCCTTGATCCCTTGCTTGGACCTTCTACTTGGAGAAGGCCACCAGCCTTTCTTGTATTACCAGTCTTCAGGCCAGCTGTGTCTCCTTTCTCTGGCGGGACTGGGAGAACTGGGAGGTGATCTTTTGCCTCTGCTTGGCACTGGTGGAGGCCTCACCTGGAGTGCTGTGCCCAGTTTTGGGCTCCTCAGTGCAAGAGAAACATGGACGTACTGGAGAGAAGGGCCGCAAAGGGCTTGTGTTGGTGGAACTTGTGCTGAGTGCCGTGGTTCCAGATTGAATGTCCCATTACTGCAGTACCAAAGACCGAATCTGCTAATCCTGTATAATGTAAGTGGACAACTTGGTTAGGGACATCATAATACGGGCTAACGCAAAAGAGCGTGTAGCTTTTGATGGCAGAGGTATGAAAAAGCTTGTGTGTAGTTCCGTGAGGGTGTGAATGAAGGTTGTGCCAAAGCTGCCAACCTTGTTGTTTTTGGAAGGGAGCAGGGCTGCAGAAACGTGACCCTTTCTCCATGGTCTTGTCAAGATGGAGCGGTGTTGCTGGCAATGAAGCTGAGCTCGAGTCAGGCCATCTGTAGGTTCCCCTCTGCTGGTGTTCTACTGTCGTGGTTTAATCTCAGTCGGCACAGTACTCATTTCTCATTTCTTGTACGTACGAGTCAGAAGTTTCTTCATTAAGATCAAGAGTAAGATCAGCCCTTCTACTCTCTCTGGGGAACTGCCCACTGGAAACTGGAGCAGCAATTTTCCTGGAAGAACCTCTTTCTGTGATTGTTTTCCCTTGCAATTCACGTACCCGTGCCCCTAGGGCTGCAGTAGGTTTCCCATCCCACTTCCTCATGTCCTCTCCATGGTCACGCAGATAAAACCATAGGGTGCCCCGTGGTGTGTACCCTTTATATTCTCTCTCTTGAGCAAAAGAACGCTTACAAAGGCTGAGGATTCGTGTCCCTTTTCCAATTGCTTTTTCAATGCCCCCTTCCCTCCCTGCCGAAACCAGGACACCTACCATGCACGCTTTTGCACGTGCTCTCTACAGAGCATGGCAATGCAAGGAGAGCAGTGAGAATGCTGGACAGACAACTGTTCCCAGCTACTTTGTGGGAGGGTGTGGGGAAGCTGGAGCCAGGCTCCTCTTGGACGTGTGTGGAGTTAGGATGAGAGACAGTAGACAAATGGCCACGAGGGAAATTCTGAGTAGCTGTTAGGAAAAGACTTTGTTGTGAGTGTGGTCAGACCCTGGAGCAGAGCCCCAGGAAGGCTGCGAGATATACGTCCTTGCAAATAATTCAAAGTTCAGCTGGACAAAGCCCTGAGCAGCTGGAGCTGGCCGTGCTTGGAGCTGGACATTGGGCCAGAGACCTCCTGAAGTCCCTTCCAATCTAATCTCTTCAATGGTAGGTAGGAGATGCCCAGATAGTGTGCTTCAGCTGTAGCATAAATCACAGCCTGGGACTATGCTTGACTCCCTCTTCCTAGGCTGGCATGATAAGGAGACATTAAGGAGGCGCCTTACTAGTTCTTCGTGGGAAGGGTGCATTTTTCTGGAGATGTTCACCGGGACTGAAGATGTGTGCCCGCCTGGTGCCAGGTGTTGGTTTTTGTAGTATTTGTATTGTGACAGGCTTCCTCTTGGGTTCCTCCAGGTACAGCTACATGATTGACAACGTCATTCTGCTGATCACTGGGACCTTGCACCAGCGTTCGATCTCCGAACTGGTGCCCAAGTGCCATCCTCTGGGAAGTTTTGAGCAGATGGAAGCCGTGAACATTGCTCAGACGCCTGCGGAGCTCTACAATGCGATCCTGGTGGACACTCCCCTGGGTGAGCAGAGCCTTTCAAAATACCTCTCAGCTGTGTGTGGAGCAGATGTCCCTTTCTCCCCCAGTCTAACTAGGTCCAACTAAGTCTAAGTTGTGCTCCAGGAAGACAAGGCAGTGGGTAATGTGCAAATGTGGCTGTACTGCCCGTGGTGGCTGGGCTTGAGTTCAGGTTTATGCCTGTCCTATGCCAGTTTTTCCTCTGAGGACCAGCTAGCTCTCTGTACACTTCAACAAATGTCCAAACCAGCACGCTGGTAGTGCAAATTGCTGGGAAATTTGGTTTGTGTGAGCCAGGCCTTGAGGTGTCATGGCAGTGCAAGTGTAGCTAGAGAAGTCCATTTACCAGCACTTCTGGGAATTGTCATCTGAAATTAGGAAGGAAGGAGAAAGTTTGAGAGGTCTTAGACAATGTGATCTTTCTAATAACTGTCATGGGACACATGGTACACATGCTTCCGTAGTGAAGGGCTATCGGGTCCTCTGCTGGAATGAGTCACTTAATTTCCAGCACTTTTAGCTGGACCGTTGGGCAACTTCATGTAGGCAATTTTTGTAGATAATTATAGAGATCTGCACATGCCTGGTCTTGCTCTGATACTGATAAAATTAGCTCTAGATCAAGGAAAGCCCTTTACATACCAAAAAACCTCAACCAGCAACGGCAAAAAAAAAAAAAAATCTCCAAAAGCCTTTTTAAGCTCATTGTGTAGCAGGATCCTGCCTCAGGGCTACAAGCCTTGACCAGGAGGCGCGTGACACTAAAACCAAGTGTCTTATGAACAGTCAGACAGATATGTTCTTTAAAGATAAATGTGTAGGAAGTGGTTCTGGAGAAAATATGGAAGTCTTTTTGCAGTAGTAGGAGAGGTGGTCATAGGACACTTTCTAGGTTAGCATCTGTGGGCAAAAAAGTAATGAAGTACGCCTGAGTCAGTGATTAATCATTCTTTTGGGGTTGCTAGAAAGAACAAAACACTTTAAATCATCGTATTGTCTTTGATAGAAATAGTTGGTTTTGGAACTGAAAGTGCTTTTGCAAATGCTCTGTGTAATAATGCGGCAAGTGAAGTAGTTGTCATGGAAAAATGATTTGCCAGATACAGCCCAGCAAAGGAGGGAAAACATGTCTCGAGAGATCTGGGTTGCAAGGTAGGGCAACGACGCAGCAGGAGAACTGAGGCTCTGCATGCAGCTGAGTTGAGCCTGCTGTAGGGATGATGTGTGGGAAGAAAATCCTCCTCATGAGTAAGCGGGAACCTTCCCATTTTGGGAATAAGATACAACCAAGTATTTCAAAGATAATAGTTCTCCGAGACCTTAAAACTTCCAGCTGTGTATGGAATGAGAATGCCCCTTTACACTGGCGAGGTGGTTCTGGAGAACGCGGCTGGTAGTTGAGGGTCTTTGCCTCTTGCATTCATGCACTGGTACCTGAGTGAGCTTTGCCTGCTTCTGCCCTGGCTAGGCTGAGATCTTCGGACCTTTGCCCTGGCCATGCCCTTGAGGCTGCGTACCATCTAGTGTGGCATTTCTTCAGCAGGAGAACATGGGGGGTAGCCGTGTTGCTTAAACAAGCAGGCATGCAGGCTCCAGTTGTTTAACTTGCACTCTTTCCAGTGACCACACGCAAAGAAACAGCAGCTCTATCTCCTAAAAGTACTTGAGTAGCTACGTGGCTTGGTAGGAATGCCTAACCCCAAATGGCTCTCATAGGTTAGCAGGGCAAAATAAGACTTGCTGTTAGCCTAATTTGGGATATTGGAGGGCCAAGAACTGAAATAGCTGTGTTCTCATTCCTCTGCTACTCTGAAGTAGCCACTGCTTAGCTATATAGGCTAGCCAGCGAGTTCTGCAGTGAAAACCAGTCCTGGCACACTCTGTTTTCATTTTTGCCAGCCGTACGGAGCAGTGCTCCTCCAGCTACGTGGCATTGGTCTCTGATGCTGTTGCAAAGAAACCTCTTGGGGGGGTAACTCCTGTTCAGGACTCTCTAGACCCACGGTGCAGCTGCTGTCCATGCCAGGGAGCTCATGCTATAAAAGTAGTGCATGCCGGAGGTGTGAGCCTGCATCGTACCTGGTTTGCCGCACAAAGAGCACCAGTCAGTTCTCAGCGTGAGTGCGGTGTCCTTTACCCACAGCTGGACTGCGTAAGCTGAGAAAGATCATATTTCTCTTTGTAGCAAATTCAGCAAAATTGGTTGCTGAGTGAGAGTTGAAGAAGTCATAAAAGTCCCGTCAATGGGTTTTATTGTGCTCTTGCTAACAAGTGAGTGGTGCAACAGCCTTATGTTACGCTAGATGTACAAGACTCCTCTTTATCTGCAGCTTGCAGTACCCTGTGTTAGGTGTTCTTTCGGTGGCAACAACTTCTCAAACTCCCTCCCAGAGATACTCTGGCGAAGTACGTAAGGCCGAGCTTCCTACCAAAATACATTAGTTCTTCCGAGGCCTTTTATTTCTCCAGCTAGAGGTAAGCAACAGGAGACAGGATGAAGTGGAAAATGGGATTGATAGACCCGACTAGGGGAAACAACTCCTGACTCCAACCATGGAGTGTCATGGGCTGTAGAAGCTGTGGCATCCCCATGCCTCCTTAATCCAGCTAAGATATTGGAGGATGAGGGAGAAGCACAGCGCCAGCTTCTTCAGGACTCACTAGCTGCTCTCTCACAGATGCTTAAGCGCTGCTGCCATGCTGTAGCAGACAATTCGGAAGCTGTCTTGTCACCTCTGAGTGCCTGCATCTGGGAACAGTTTGAGTTTTGCTTATTTTTAAATACAAAGTGCTCTGGCGCTGATGCTGGGGGCTAGAGCTGAGAATTTCTGCTGAGACTAGGCTGGTGTGAGAGCCCCAAAAATGATTGTGGCCTGGGGAGCCATGGTGGAGCCTGAGGTTTTGAGTCATGGCAATTTGGTGGTTGCTGAAGATAAGGGGCAGGCCTAGGAGGGACAAGCTCAACACAGGGTGTGCGTCTGCCTGGTATTGTTTGAGGACTCTGGAAAGTGCTGGGCATGGGTCTGGTTGGGGCAATGCTAACTCTGTGGCTCTGTTTCAGCTGCTTTCTTCCAAGACTGCATATCTGAACAGGACCTGGATGAAATGAACATCGAAATCATTCGAAACACGCTGTATAAGGTGAGTGAGTCTCTGGGAAGAGAAAGAGGTGTTAACTTCCCTATTTATTCCTAGCATGACTGCAGCTCTGCTTTGGGTCAGGAGCTCCAACTTAGGCTGGCTTTCGGGGAGAGGGTATTTTCCTCTTAGAGTAGATTTAAAAACAAATTTGCTTTCTCTCTATTTTCTTCCCTGGAGTGGTGATAGAGTGAACATCACCAAGAACTAATTGCATCTGCTGGAAAGCGAAGATAGTGCTCTTGGAGGGGCCTGACATCCGATCACCCAGCTCTGCAGAGTCAGGGCACCAGAGCTAGGCAGTGACTTTTTCTTTTTTTTTTTTTTTTTTTTTG